TAATAGTTCAGCAAGTTAGGTTTCACAGCATAGTAGTTTTTAAGGTTGAAAAACAGAAAAACAGGAAACCAAATGTTCCACCATGACCCATCAGCTTGATGCTTGCTTACAGTGGAAAGGAAAGAAGTACAGAAATTCAGGAACAGATCGACCCTCCTTACCTCATGGTGTATAACAAGGTGCCATCCTCTGTGATCCGCAGAAGTTTGTTGGGCATGGTCATGTTGTGGGCCACTGACTTCTTTCCATTGTGAAAAAAGGTATCCGGTGTCCAGATTTTACTTGCCATTAGGTTATTTAACCGGAGGACTGTCATGGGTCCTTTAAACTTTAACCTTTCATCCTTCCAGCTTTGACGGAAAAATACATCTATTGTATATTCCTAGATAATTTTAGAAAAGGACAAAGGGTTCACTGTGCTGTATTTTGCAATGCAAATATCTCACTCAGACAATGCATAATTTTTGCAACTTTGTAAGTAAAATGTGAGTTAGGTGATGTTTCTGGAAGTAAACTTGTAGTAGTTTGTACATATTGGTGTCAAGTGAATCATTAGTTGGTGCAATATTTTTTTTAAAAAAAAGGTCAAAAATGTTTGACATATTTCTTGGTCAGAAAAATTTTGCCAATTATGTCCTCAGATATGTAAAAGGAAAGTGACACCCCACCCCCAAACCCACCCCTACCACACCACCGCTAGAAAAAATAGAATACATAGCAATTAAAAAACGAGCTCACGTTAAATGGTATTATGTACAGGACATGTTTAAATTAGATAATTCCAGCCACAAAGATAAAGCATAATGTTTTGGGGGATCTCTCACGGTCTCTGAAAACCTCACACTCATCCCCAAGTCAATCATGGTTCTACTGTCGGTGTGAAAATCCCTTTTTTTTTTGGCTAAGTAAACATTCTTTTACAAATAATGTACACAGGCTTTCAATTCTCCTACACAATGAAGAAGATTATGAAAATAAACAATCTATTTCTACTGGTAATTTGGATCATTTCCAAAAACAAAAAGAAAAAAATAACGCATAGTGCAAGGGTATGTGTGAGTGTGTGTTTGTGATTGTATGTGTGTATAAGCCACAGGAGAAATGTGTGAAGCTCATCATCATTCACAGCCAGGGAATCTATTTATTTGAATAAACACAGCATTCCTTATGGCAATACCCAGAGACAAACATCTGCTAATCTGAAAACAAGCAATGTGACTTACCAGCTCCTAAAATTGAAAAGGGTAAAATCCATCTTCCTTGCCGTACTTGCTGCATTGGCACTGAATTTGAGATTCAATGGTTTGAAATAAATATTACCACATTCTCTATCGATCTTAGCATGCTACACACCAGAAGGAGGACTAACTTGAAAGCATCATGCTACATTTTCCTAATCCTCTAAGCCCTATTACAGGAGAAAGCAGGGTTTTTTTTGTTTTTTTTTTTAAATCTTATACATATTATCTTTAGGATACGCACAATAAATAGCGTCTGTCTCTAGGCATCTTGTGCATGAATTTAACTACCTGTCTCCTTCCCAGGGTTTAAACAAGACTGGGTAAAGACTGAATTAAGGTGTGTCCTCTAACACATGTTTGGCATCACTAAACCCTTACTGTTCAAAGAACTAACAATTATTATTGGATGGTATATAATGCACTGGGCACAGTGCTAATTGCTAAGTTAGAAACAAGGAAGTATAAAATGATGCCAGTTTATCTTTGTAGGCAAGACAAGTTACTTTGTTGGTTATGTTTTTCTGTTTGGAAATGTCAAATGAAAGCCACTACAATCCATGATTGGAATTTACTCACCAACAAACATTTGTTAAGAACTGGGGAAATTCAGCAGAGGGAAAAATTGTTTAGGCATAGGTGCTATAAGAAAAACTTATGGAGGAGCATAGAGTGGTGTTTTCCATGAGGAAGGAAATGGGGAGGGTGACTGGATTATATAAGGAAGTAATGTAATGTTGTAATGCTTGTCAGGGAAACAGCGTGGATGGATCTACTCTGGGCTGTGCATGTTCTCCCCTATGGACAACAGACAAGCTTGCGAGGTAGGGATCTGATATATGATGATATTTCTGTTATTTAAGACTTAGCCACAGATGCTCCATTCTCTACCCAACTAAACTACTTTAGATTGCCCAACAGTAGAGGGACAGGCTATTCGCAGATCAAAGTTTCAGGGATGTCTAAGCTGACCATGTTCCCATGAATCGAAAAATGTGGTTCATTTCTGTGCTTGCTCCAAGATTTTTTGAAAAAATAAATGTTAAA